ACATACATACATACATACATACACACACACACATACACACACACACACATACATACATACATACATACATACATACATACACACACACACACACACACACACACACACACACACACACATACATACATACATACATACATACATACATACATACATACATACATACATACATACATACATACATACAATAGACCTGTGTGTGAAGCTTCACCATGAATGATGTGGATCTTGTTTGCTGCCTGTTATCCTGCAGACCTCCAGTATCTCTAAACAGAGGTGACGATGACATTTATGCTCCGATGGTGATCAATGGACTATTCAGAATGTGATTGATGATACAGCAAACCACTGGATTGTGAACACAAACTTGCATGCTTGCACACTTCGCATTCTCGCATTTCTGTAATTGTATATGCTCTCGAATTCTCGAAATTGTACATTATATCGGATTCTCGCATTTCTGAAATTGTATACACTCCCGCATTCTCGCATTTTTGAAATCGTATATTCTCTCACATTCTCGTGATTTCTGGTGTAACTCTCCTCTGGAGGAATAAAGAACATATAGCAGGTCTGAAGCCTATTACGTGCTGGCATATATAGTTTGGCATGAAATGCATGTGGACCCGGTTTTTTGTAAATATCTCTTCATCCAAACTATAGATTGATTTGATTGATGAGATCACTCAACTGTCCTGATCAATTAAGAGCTACAAAGCAACGTGATAAACCGTTTCAAGATCGGATGGAACATAAACATTGTGTATTCATAACGTTGTCATCTTGGTATCATCTTGCTGGAACAGCTCCCTCTGGCGGTCAATGATCGGAACCATGATTGTGAATCCTTAATTTTCGTCTCTGTACCGAATAGCAGTTGAATTGCCAGGGAGGTAAAGTACGATTACCTGTGGGTAGGATATGGTGCAGTGGTATTCCGAGGTCTACCACTTCGAGGCCGACCTTGCGTGGAATTAGTTTGTTGATATCGGTCTCATGAAGAACTGATGGTGCTGTGGCGGACATTGAGGTGATGTGCAACGGCAGATTGAGACTCTGCAACGGTAGATTGAGACTCTGCAACGGCAGACTGAGACTGCCCAGTCTCCAGACGTCCAATGTTAATGTTTCGATTTACAGTAATAAGTCGCGGTATAACAATGTTCTTCAGTTCGCTACAAAAATGCCAATGATCTTCTAAAAGCAAAACGGCCTTATACGGGCAATGTCCCTGCTCGCCATTAACGTAAACGTGCATTAAACTTTCGAAGGTGCGTTTTTGCACTATGCATAAACCAGCATTATAACGGCGTAATTATAACAATCAAACGTTAATTTTGACACATATGTGAAATTTCATGCATATATATCACTTATGCGTTTCCTTTTGGGAGAGTATATTTCTATATCGATCATGACGTGATCTAAAGTCCACATCGGCCAAGTTAAGAAGGTCGAGTAAACATAGTGCGTTGTCTGATTGCATCAAATCGCATCTCAAGCACGCCTAAGAGCTGCTTCAGGAATGATTTGAGTTACTCCCACAAAGCATACTGTGAAGTAGCGATGGATAAGGACTTCGTGTTGCGCTCTATCTTCCGTCGGGTAGTGTCGCTTAAACACACAACAATGTCCATTGATTACAGATCCGCACTGTCAACACAAACTAAGCATGTAGATGGACTACTTCCCACAGAAGAATCTTAATTCAATATCTGTAAACGATTTTGTTGTACTAAAGTTTTGTTGAACGCTGTCTCGATGATCTTTTAAATAATCTGAAACTCGGACGTAAACGTTTTGAGAATCTGAAATTTGATTACTGAGAACGTAGTGCAGAATCCAACCAGAATCAATTGTATGGTGTCAGGGCCAAGTCTGCTCGCTACCTTGAGCCACGATAGGATATTACTGCCAGAGATAAGGCGCTTAGAAATATATAGCGTTGCGGGGGTTCTTTTCCATCTGGAGCGATGGAGTAGCCGAATGGTTAAAGCGTCCGCTCGTTCGCTGAAGACCAGGGTCTGATTGCCCACATGGATACAATATCTGAAGCCCATTTCTGATGTTCCCGCCGTGATATTGCTGGAATATTGCTAAAAATGGAGAAAACCATTCTCTCTCTCTCACTCACTCACTCTTTTCCATTTCACAAGCCAAAACCATCAATGTTTAATGGGCGCTAAAGACTCAGTGCAGTAACGTCTCTACTACACATGTAATTGAACCTGTTGACAAGTGACACTTATCAACTATCAGCACGACTGGCGATAGCATGCACTATGTTTGTATGCCTTGCAGGTATACACATCCATAACCGGTGTCAGAGGTGGTCTTCACACACTCTCACTCACTCACTCCAAACTTTACAGCTATACGATGGCGGTCTGGATAATCGAATCTAGACGAGCCAGTCCCGGCATTGACATCTTGAACACCGGTCTGGGATACATGCTCCAACAAAGTCATCCGGCCTGACCATCCGTACAACAGGTATGGGATAAAACGCGTCTTCTGTATGATAGCACGTGGTAGAACAGACATCAGTACTAACACAGTTTTTGTGACAAATAGCACATTGGTACACGATAACATGCATTATGTTGCCTTGTCTGTTGGCAGTCCCTGAAGTGTATGCTTGTAAATTAAACTGTAGACGACATCCTCACAGACGGGTTGTTATTGCCAGGTGGGTAAGCCGGAAGGATTTTGAAATATAAACAACCAATGGCGGTCACTTGTACCTGCGACCTGTCGTGGAAGGAGAACCCGAGACTAATAGAACACTTGAAAGTTTATGAGCGCTTCATCCAATTTGCTGCCACTCACGTTCAACACGACCGCGATAACCAAACTATTGGCATATTACTATTGTTCACGGTGTAAATACTTCTAAGTCGTCTGTCAAACTCTAATGTCATATTAGCCATGTGACATATGACATCACAACACTATATAATCTGGTTCTGTTGAGGAACATACGGAAAACGGGTGTGTTTTAATAATTCTTGTGGAGGAATGTGAATTTGGAACGATTATGTTACCATGGTTACAAAGTTTAAAATGTCATATGAAATGTCACTGAAAACATTTGATACAGACCACTGAACATGCTTATGGGAGAACTAGAACATAGTCTGACCGTGTCGACCCTGATACTGCTTGAGAAGGTCTCACAAAGTTTGTCATGCATCTCTATTCAAAGCGTCACGCCGAAGACAAGGGTTCGAATCCCCACAAGGGTATAATGTGTGAAGCCCATTTCTGGTGTTCCCCGCCGTGATGTTGCTGGACTGTCTGAAAAACAGTGCTGTTTGAACACCAGACCGGATGGTCACAGACGTGTATCTGCGTCACTGCTGAGCTGTAGGAGCTGATTTCGAGTCTAGTTTAGACACTGAGCTGTAATATTCATACAGATCATACAGGTCTAGAAACGTAACGGTTTTTATATACAGTATCCCGGTAACTGTTGGCACGCCTATGTAGGTGAAATATCTTCACCCCACAAGTAAGTGAGCGAGTGAGTTTCGTTTTACACCGCACTCAGCAATATTCCAGCTATATGGCGGCGGTGTGTAGATAATAAGGTCTCTACCAGACAATCCAGTGATCAATAGTATGAGCATCGATACGATGACATGTCAACCAAGTCCTCGAACCTGACCACCCTATCTCGTTAGTCGCCTCTTACGACAAGCATGGGTTACTGAAGGTTCATTCTAACCCGGATTTTCAAGGGGCCTTGACCCTCAAAACCCGAATTAAAGAACTTCTCAGCTCAGTGTCTAAACTAGACTCTATAAGAGCTCTTCCTGACCATATTCGTGACACTGCCTATCACAGCATCAAGCAGGAAAAAATCAAACCCTCACTAACAAGCTCAAAAAACTCAAAGAAGAAAACTGACTAATTGGCAACATCCATGTGAAACTATGGATACTCCATACAGGCTATATACAGCATCCTCAAAGGCAACGTGTATGCTCGTCATAGTATTTTTCCTTATGCATATGAATCGCAATTTTTTGCTTGATTTATTGGTTACAATTAGCAATATTCCCGCGAGAGGATGGTTGTATGTAAACAATGGCGTCTGAAAGAACCACCACTGACTGGCATCACTATACAGACGGGGCACGATGACATGCATCAAGCAAGTTGGCCAACCCGGCCATCAGATCACGTTAAGGATTTTATGGTTTTCTTGGGACGAGTTACAATCCTGGAAATGTCGGGGTATTACATCTCAGGAACGCTAATGCCATATAATGACCGGTTTATTTATTACATAAAATCACGGAACACAGTACTGGACTCCTGCTACTGACTCTCACACCTTCTTATCGGAACATGTAGACCTGAAAAAACCCATAGTTCCTCTTCTGGTCAGCGTTTTCTTGTCTATCTTTCAGTAAAGGGTGAGGAGACATTGGTCCATATTCTTTCATTCACATGGAGATGTGTAATCAGGTGTGTTTTGTACTTGTCTGAATATTGGCGGTTTCTTTTGTACCCGAATATTGAGATATAATGCCGCAGTACCCAGCTCAGACACAACATACTGACTCCGAGTTGATCAGTTCTTGTTTAATGTCCTTTTTGTCAATATAGAGTAAAAGGTCTAATCTATGGTACAGACCACCGACCTTCTGTTCTCCGGGCACACGCCCTCTCCACTCGACAAGGGGCTCAGGCAAAAAGAGCCAAGTTTAGAAGTGGCGGGTACAATAGGGTAGGAAACATTATCCCTTACAACTATTTTCTCTTTTCCAGCCCAAACGCATCTATTGAAGAATAACAGGGATTGGTTGTTGTCAGCCGCTCGCGTGTTCCTTGTTAAATACACCTATCACAACAAGATAGGTTAGACATATGTACTTGTTACGAATTGAACCATGTTAAACGTAATACTTATCAACTGGAAGTTCCTGTTTTCTAGAAGTATTTCTAAAATGATTGAGAAATGATTGAGAAATGATTGAGAAATGATTTGCTACCTTACCCTGTCTTTGCCCCTTGTTGATGGAATATGACAAGAGCTGTGGAGATTTACAGTATCCACGACTTACAGCAGGCACTATGGCGATATCCTCGTATCTCTGTAAACTAGTCGCGTCTGTATGCCTGGATGTACTGCGATCAATACATACGTGATAATACTCTATTCTTAATGGAGAGATGTTTACGGTCAACGTTGATGATGTTACGGAACACACCATTGCATATTCTGAGGTGAGAAGGATGGCGGACGTGAGGCAGAGGGTGGGTTAAGAAGGATGGAGGGTGTAAGGGAAATACCGTTTACTAGTCTGGGTAGAGTTGATGTGACGTTTGAGCAGGCGAAGCCGTAAAAGTAGTATTGATAGTGAGAAGGTATTGATAGTGATAAGGTGTTGAGAGTGATAAGGTGTTGAGAGTGAGGTGGGGGTAAGGGTGTGATCTTTCTTTAGCGTTGATGGAGGATGATGATGGTATAATCTGGGGATCCACATCTTTTGGGGTAATATAATAATAATAAATGGATATTTCTTATGCGCCATAGTCCATCCAGAGCATGCTCAAAGCGCTACATATAAAAAGAGTGACTAGAGTTCAAGAAGAAGATATGACAATTAGCCAAAAATAACCGTGAGAGTATTTTACAGTTATAGGTTGTAGACTTTTTTGAAGAGGAAGGTTTTGAGTCCCGATTTGAATGCTTCTAGGGATGAAGCATTTTTTATGGGAGTAGGAAGACTGTTCCATAGGGTTGGTGCTGCAAATTTGAATGACCTATGGCCAAAGTGTTTGAGACGAACTTGGGGAACTGAGAGAAGATGTTGATTCTGAGAGCGGAGAGAACGGGCAGGCATATATGTTGACAACATCTCAGAGAGGTATGGAGGAGCTAGGCCGTGTTTGCAGCGGAAAACAAGAGTGCAGATCTTGAAATGAATTCTTGCTTCAACCGGCAGCCAATGCAGACTCTGGAGGATTGGGGTTATGTGAGTCCATTTGGATGTTTTAGTGACAACTCTGGCGGCAGCATTCTGAAGTTTTTGAAGTCTGAAGAGAAGATCATTGGAGATTCCAAACAGTAGGCTATTGCAATAGTCAATCCTGGAGAGAACAAGTGACTGAGTGAGAACTTTAGCAGCATCTGTGGTTACAAGATGGCGGATGTTACCAATAGAGTGGAGATGGAATTAGCCTACTCTACAGAGATGGTTCACATGTTGCTCCATGGTGAGACAAGGATCAAGATGAACACCTAGGTTTTTTACACTGGATGAAAGTGGGATATCTGAGTTGGCTACTGTGATGTCCGTAGGATGACATGCAATCAATGGAGACGGCATATGGAACATAGTGCAAAAAGCGACGCCCTGTGACGCCAGTTTCCTGCCTATAGATTCGTCTACCGGAAAAACTACGTCAAAGTCTGTTTCCGGCATCCTAAGGCGTTGTAGCAGCCATGGTCAGGGACCAGACGAAGGGCAAATGCCGCCATTCATCTGGAAGTGTTGTTGCCTCTCCTGCACGAACCATTGGGACTGCACAAAACGAGAACAAGGCGATACTCTTAGTCATTAATATACAGTACAATTTTTGCAGATTGGTGCATCTGCAGACAACAAAATCCCACATTATCGCCTAGAGAGTGTAGTTCTTGATATTGCTTCGAAACGTTTGGCCATGTTTCTGAATTTTATATTTGCAAACAAGAGAATGCCTTAAACTTACGTAATATTCAGAGACCAAAATCAGTTTCCGAAAACATTTAAGATTTCAGGAAATACCTACAATTTAATTTTTTCCTGTACGGACAAATTGCGTTCAGGTTGTTCAGTCTTAGGAACGTGTTGCAGAACGTGGAGTTGACAGATAACGACATAAATTCAACTCCATGTGGCTGCCAAGACACAGTTTTGCCACAAACCTGCAGAACATATAATGACAGGTGACTTCTCCATTGTTGACGATAACAACCTTCGTCAGCTATTCAAATATGGAGTAAAATATCATGGACAGCCTCCTACCAATTTAAATCATCATCGATGTTGTACAAGGATGTGTCAAAAATGGGACAAAAGAGAAGAACATGTGGAAGGTTTCTCAGGCACGTGGTTAAGTCAGTGTGTGTCGATAGAATGCACAAAGTGTCATCCAAAGTCTGGCTGGCCTGCATGATGATTGTGTAGTTGTTCCTCCTGACCACACATAGACGAACCATTATATGTAGACACCATTGCAGAAATTGTTTGACCAAGCAGCTTGGTGTACACACATATCAAATGATACCGCTTACAAGGCCAGTATGTTAACTGAGGAAGAAATCTGCCAAACCATTCATCGGAGCTATCACCTTTTGGCTTGACTCTAACACCTGAAGACATGCCTATGGCGCCTTTGATTCCAAAGCTCCATAAAAATCAGTACAGAGACATATTGCCGGGTTCAGCAAATGTACCACCAAATCCCTGTCTCAAAATATACTGAGTCAAAAAAGAAACTTCACATTCTTTCTTCAGGGCACTATAAAAGAACAAGAGATGGTAAGATGGTTAAATTGTTATTATTTCATTGCTGAGATCTGTGTGATGTACTCGATACACTGACAGTGCCATAATCAGTTCCATTAGGCTACACCGCCGTTCCAAAACATGGGTATACAGAATGTCAAGTCACAAGAATAACAATGCGAAATTTCACAGTTCAGTATCGCGTATGGCCGCCCCGCGCATTCACCACTGCCAAACACCGTCTCCTCATCGACTGCCTGATGCTTGTGAACACGTGGTTGGGGATTCTGCGCCATTGCTCTTGCAAGGCAGCGCCAAGTTCCTGCAAATTCTGAGGTTGGTTCCTAAGACCACGAAGCCTTCTCCCAAGTGCATCCCAAACGTGCTCTATTGGATTAAGGTCAGGGGACCTCGATGGCAAGTCCATGACGTTGATGTCGGCGTTTTGAAGGAAATTTTGTGTCAACATCGCGGTATGCGGCCGAGCATTATCATGCTGGAACTGTAGACCTGGGCCATGAGCCGCCATGAAAGGAATGAGTTCAGGGGTGAGTACCTGGTCGCGGTAAGCAGCAGCTGTGAGGTTTCCACGGATGACCAGAAGTCGGGAACGGCTGTTCCCACAGAAAGCACCCCACACCATGCAACTTCCGCCCCCGAATCTGTCGACTTCCTGTACACAACATTGGGCATACCGTTCACGACGTCGTCTCCAGACTCTATGCCTGCCGTCCGCGAATCTGAGGGTAAACCTGGATTCATCGCTAAAGACGACTCGATTCCAGTCTCTCTGGGTCCATCGGAGGTGACGTTGGGCCCACAGCAGACGTTGACGTTGATGAAACGGCGTCAATATTGGCCCACGATATGGACGTCGAGAATGGAGATTGGCAGCCCGTAACCGATTTCGAATGGTCTGTGAAGACAGTCGACCTCTAAACATCTCAGCCCTGGTTCGTGTAGCCGGCAGAAATCTGTCACGTAGGTGACGTAGGACGATTTGACGGTCTTCTGCTCGTGACGTCACACGTGGACGACCCGACCTTTGGCGATCAGAAGTGGTGCCAGTTTGTTGTAGACGACCTCGCAAGTCATACACAGTACGACGGCTGCATCCCACTGCTCTTTCGACGTCAATAACTGATCTTCCCGCTTGCAACATGCCAACGGCATGTTCACGTTGCACATTTGACACTCGTGGCATTTCAAGTACCGTTAGAACTGTGGTTTAAAAGTGTTTTTTCAATTTTTGAGGCCAATGCAAACACGTGCATATGACGAAAACTTCCATGCGAAGATCACGTGATCGACTGCACGTGCAAAACCTGATTTGGCACTAACGTCATTTGCACGACGAATGGATGGGTTTGAGTGGGTTTTGCTAACGTTTTTCTAGAGTCGAAAGATAGGGATCCCATTTCGGATACATAGATGTATCATCAGAGACAAATTATTCAATATTTTTCAAATTACATTTTGTGAAGTTTCTTTTTTGACTCAGTAATATGAACCATAACCCTTAATACTATCAAGGAAGTATTTTCTCTATATACACAGAAGGTATTTGAGATCTACGGAATTAATACCATGTTGATTCTCAAAAACACATAGGATCTGCTTACGTTTTTTGCAATCTCAGAAAAAGGACCGAATTCAGTTCCGACCAAATATGTTTAACGGTGTACACGCGCACGACAAACCTGGGGAACAATTTATTCGTTTATGCATAGGGCATTTGTTAATAAAGATCCAAGATATACTTACGTATTATCAACGCGAATATGCCAACAGGGTAATACCTCAGAATTCAGAGTCCCAGTGTTTTTTAGTTGGTTATACAATAAACAAATAACATGACAGCAACGAGTGAAAGTCCAAGCTCAAACATAAAAGAGACACGTGGAGATCCAATGGGGTCTCAGGACGTTACCGACCACCATCACATCCTGCTCCTGGTGGTCCTTTCACAAGCAGTCACCATGCCGGACTGCCGATCAGCTGACAATTAAACATATATATATTAAAAGACATCAAAGCGATGTCAATGAGATAATGGCATTGCCTTGGACTTATTGATGTGATGGCAGATACAACCATGAGGGTAACCAATAACAGTTGTAAATGTCACACTATGAATATCGGGAATTAATGCAAAAGACAGAGAGACAAGGGTTTGTTTGTTGGCCGGTCAATATACACAGCGGTGGTGATAAGGATTAATTAGACAATAACTAAAGGGGAATGACAGATTATCACGAGTTGGTTATTCTTTTTATTACCCATTTTCAATCTAAAATAGGCTAACATGAAAACAGCAGTTTGTCTATAAGAAAACCCGCGATGTGGGGAATCCCCATACCCCTACGCGTGTGATGCGGCTACACCCTGTGTCCTCCTTCCTATATGGGTAATAACGGAGAGTACTGACGCCAATGTTTCTTTCCATACGGGTGAAACTATTCTAAAAGTCACCTTCCATGATTATATAAATATAAATGAATATACATTATTGATTTTTTTTCTTTTTTTCAATATTTTTTACAGGCATACATTATAGGATCGGGCAAGCAGTCAGCAAACAGTACATTGTGATTCATCTGAGGTACATAATATGTAAACATGTACACAGCAATATTGGGTGATATAAATCTATCCTAACAACAAGTGTAACGTTGACCAGAATTTAAAAACAACAACATTTGTTCAGTACCAATTGATAAATGGAGACATTAGGCAAATAGATGATTACAT